AAACTTTTTTTTTTTTTTTTTAAATTTCAAAAAAAAAAAAAAACTGGAAAAAAGAAGGGCATTTTACATCCATCGTCATCAACACTAGGATTTTTAGACATTAAAAACTAGGCCCGTTCTTTTTAATGCAGGCTTTCAGCTCGATATGGAAAGGAACTGGTACGGCTAAGCAAAAGCCTCCATTTTAGTTGCGTTTGTAACCCAGGCAGACCCAGCACCTCTTCTAACATTCGTATGTAAGCAGACAACTGAAGCCCACGAGTTGGGCAGAAAGAAGGAAAGAATGGCTCAAGTGTAATATAACCATCTCCTCAAATAGTTGCCTCTTAATCTCACCTTCTGTCCCCAATTTCTAACATCCTTAATAGGTGCAATTTCTCCTCTAGCTTAAGTACCCTGTCAACAGTTTTGAAGATTCCTAGGCATTACTTCAGTTTGTTATTCTAATCTCCACATCCCTCTCTCATCAGGGGGTTGTTTCTTAGTTCTCTTCTTTTTAAGTGCATCCCATTCTAATTTCCTCTTTACCTTCGCTCCCATCCCCATTATTTCCTTTCATATAGCCATTCATGAGATCTCCTGGAAGGAGGGCTGTTGAGAACTGTCTGGATAATCAATGGTTCTAGTTTCATTCCCTTATGCCATCATCATGCCAGCCCAGAGCTCCTCAGGCTTAATGAGTACGTCTGCAAGACTTGAAAGAACCCAAATATCCCCATTAGGAGACCCTCTTTAGATCTCGGTCTATCCTCACAGCTCACCTGCTTCCCTCACTTCTGCTGTGGAAGCAGTATCCTGCTGTTCCCATCAATCAGATTTAAATCAGATAGGGGCTAGCAGGCACCCTGTGACAAGAAGTCAAGGGGATTAAGACGTCACCTGGTTTATTATTATGAAAAGGTGATAATGGTACAAGGGGAGGAAGCAACCCGTTTTTTTTAGGGGAAGAAAAAAAATGGGCACTGCAACACTTGGGAGTCTGAGGAAGTTTTGAGGGAGGCAGGTGAACAGGCAACCCCCATCCGGCCTGAGCACAGCCTGCTATGATTTAACCCTTTGCATCTTTGCATGGGGTAGGGGGTGAAAGGAAGGGGCTCCTTAGCGAGGCTGTCTCCTTCCCCTGGCCACCGGAGCCTGGTGCGCCCCACTGCCTCGGGCGGCTCCGACAGAGGGGAAGACCGCCACCAAAGAGACAGCGAGCGGCGCCCTCCCCACCCCCGCCGTGCTCGCTACTCAACCCCGGCCGCAGGCGGAGCGCGGGGGCCAGGCAGGCGCCCCCCTCACAGCGGGCGCAGCCTCCCCGCCCAGCGCCTGCAGGGAGCGGGAGCGTGTGCGGGGCAGAGGTCCCCGCGCCCTCGCCCGGCCCCGG